CATGGAGTTACCAACAAGGGACTTGAACCGGGGAACTTCGCAGTCCTGGTCGTGCTTCCTTCCTCTGAGCCACAGCAGCTTTTGTATTCCACATGTCATTCTGGTCCTGTTCATCCTGGCATGTCTATTACTCTGGGGGCTGTACCTTGACTTTGGATGTGCTTCACCTGACCCTGATCAGACATTAGCAGGGTATTTAAACTCAGCCTCGCCCTGTGATCAGGATCAAGTCTTTGATCCTGTTGTGTGCTTTGTACCAGTGTTCCTGTCGTTTGAGCTGCTACTTGTTATTGACCCCGGCTTCTGACTACGTTTACTCTGACCTCTGGCATCCCTTGACTTCGGCTACTCCTCGTTGTTCCTGTCTTCTGGCATCCTTTGACCTCGGCTATCCTTTGACGATCCTGCTGTTTGAGTCTTTGCCTGTCCTGCGACTTGGTACTTCATCCTGCACAGCCCCCGTGCACAGACCCACAGGCCGGGTGAATTCTTACCTGACCACCTTGGCCTGTGGCTATCTGCAAGGGTGAGCAACATATCTGCGCTACAGACTCCCAACCCAGGTAAGACCCTGACATTAAGTAACCAATCAGAGAGTTATGAGTCAAATTATGAGTCACCTGGGAGGGGGGTTTAACATTTTTTTTTTTTTTTAGGGCCCCCACCCGCTCAGGGGTGGGGGCCGGGGGGGGAGGACAATAGGTCTCCCCCCTATTGGTATTTAGGGCCCCCACCCGCCGCTCAGGGGTGGGGGCCAGGAGGGAGGACATTAGGTCCCCCCCTTATTCCAATTTAGGGCCCCCACCCGCCGCTCAGGGGGGAGGACATTAGGTCTCCCCTTACTCCAATTTAGGGCCCCCACCCGCCGCTCAGGGGTGGGGGCCAGGGGGGAGGACATTCGGTCTCCCCTTATTCCAATTTAGGGCCCCCACCCGCCGCTCAGGGGTGGGGGCCAGGGGGGAGGACATTCGGTCCCCCCCTTATTCCAATTTAGGGCCCCCACCCACCGCTCAGGGGTGTGGGCCAGGGGGGAGAACAATAGGTCCCCCCCCCTTATTAGTATTCAGGGCCCCTACCCAACGCTCAGGGGTGGGGGCCAGGGGGGAGGACATTAGGTCCCCCCTTATTATAATTTAGGGCTGAATCCTGGCTATGTTTGCATACTTTTTATTTAAAATTGTATACAATGTAACATTCTTCTTCTTTCACTGGGTCAGTATATGAGTACTTAGGCAATACTGTGCTTCTGCATTTCGGCACTTTGACACTTTGACACTTTGACACTTTGACACTTTGACACTTTGACACTTTGACAACTTCTGCACTTCGGAAATTCTGCACTTCGGAAATTTGGTAATTTCGGAACTTCGGGACCTCTGCAATTCGGCACTTCGGACATTCGGAAGTACCCGAATGTCCGAATTGCCCGAAATTCGTCCGAATTCATATTGGTGCTTATAGCGTCTCTTGTGTGCTTGTGGTAAGGTTAGAGGTGGTCGGTGGGTCGCTGGCTTTCTGCCCTGCACCTCCTGGACTCTTCCCTGGGGTATTGTTGAGTAAGATGGCTCGTGAACGTGGCAGCATTACGTGGTTTGGCTGGGAGGGGGGGGAAACCCACTTGGTGTCCCTTTATAATGTGGGGTGTATATTGGTGACAGGGCATTTTTTTGGGTGCCAACTAAGGGCAGAGAGTCTGCGTGAGTCCATTCCAGCCCTTGGGCCAGTTTACCAGTCGTGTGGTCTTCTCTGTCATCATGAGGAAGTAGAATGGTGGTGGTGGTGGTGGTAGCGATGCTCGGAGGCTCTCCATGAAGGGCAGTAGATTACGTGCAGTGGCTCATTGCTGTAGCTTTTTCAGGCACTGGAGGTAGTTTCTTCTTCTTCTTGGGTGGGCGAGGGGAGCAAGGTTCGTCTCGTTGTCGCATGTCTTCTTGGTTCCAGGGGATTAGTGGAACACCTGCAGGAGAATGCCTAGAGAGTCCGCAAAAGGCCCTATTTCCATGACCTTATAAAGGATGTGTGTCTGGCCATCCTTCTTCACAATAAATTTAAAGGGGTTAGCCTGTCCTTCATTGGCTTGTGTCCTGGCAATGATTCCTCCTCCTTTGTTATGTAGGTCCTATTTGGCATTTTCTTCCAAAACTGTCTCATCACAGTTAAACTCTTGTTGGGGAACAAATTCGTCAGCCTCTACATTTTAGCTTTAAATTCCACAACAAATTTCTCATCCCCGTCTTTGTTAGCACTGGAAGCTTCACCATGTCTCACCACACTGTGTATGCCACTTCTCCTTTTAAACTTTTCAAACCACCCTCTACTTGCCTTGAAAACCTCATTCTCAGCAATCGTTTCAGGGGTGTTTGTCACAAGATCGGCATGCAAAAGTCTTGCTTTTTCATTTATTTGTATCCATAACAATTTTTCTACTTCTTCTACTGTCTGACTTCTTTGTTTTGTAATCGCTTTCACCCCTCTAGAAACATTGGCTCCTTTGATGGCATCTTTATTTTTTAATATGGCACAAATTGTAGATTTGGCCAAATTTAAACTGTGTTGCTAGATCACAGACAGGGACACAGCTTTCATGTTTTAAAATTATCTCTTTCTTAAACTCTATTTTCGTTCTCAAAATTCTCCTCTTGGGTTGGCCAATATCCCTGGGACCCATGGTGAGTTTTTGCAGACTGAATGAAGCTCTATGTGAAGACTCAATTAAATCTATTTAAGAGTTAGTAGAGCTCTATTTGAAGACTGAATGCAACTCTCTTTGAAGACTGAATGCAACTCTCTTTGAAGACTGAATTGAACTCTTTGAAGACTGAATTGAACTCTTTGAAGACTGAATTGAACTCTTTGAAGACTGAATTGAACTCTTTGAAGATTGAATTGAACTCTTTGAAGATTGAATTGAACTCTTTGAAGATTGAATTGAACTCTTTGAAGATTGAATTGAACTCTTTGAAGATTGAATTGAACTCTTTGAAGATTGAATTGAACTCTTTGAAGATTGAATTGAACTCTTTGAAGATTGAATTGAACTCTTTGAAGATTGAATTCAACTCTTTGAAGATTGAATGCAACTCTTTGAAGATTGAATGCAACTCTTTGAAGATTGAATGCAACTCTTTGAAGATTGAATGCAACTCTTTGAAGATTGAATGCAACTCTTTGAAGATTGAATGCAACTCTTTGAAGATTGAATGCAACTCTTTGAAGATTGAATGCAACTCTTTGAAGATTGAATGCAACTCTTTGAAGATTGAATTGAACTCTATGTGAAGACTGAATGCAACTAGCAGAATGCTTGGTTGTATAGGGAGAGGTATTAGCAGTAGAAAGAGGGAAGTGCTCATGCCATTGTACAGAACACTGGTGAGAAGTCACTCGGAGTAATGTACTCTGTACCGGAGACCCTATCTCCAGAAGGATACTGATACTTTAGAGAGTTCAGAGAAGGGCTACTAAACTGGTTCATGGATTGCAGGATAAAACTTACAAGGAAAGATTAAAGGAACTTAACATGAATAGCTTGGACAAAAGACGAGACGGGGGATATGATAGAAACATTTAAATAAATAAAAGAAATCAACACAGTAAAGGAGGAGACTATATTTAAAAGAAGAAAAACTACCACAACAAGAGCACATAGTCTTAAATTAGAGGGCCAAAGGTTTAAAAATATCAGGAAGTATTACTTTACTGAGAGGGTAGTGGATGATTGGAATAGCCTTCCAGCTGAAGTGGTAGACGTTAACACAGTAAAGGAGTTTAAGCATGGGTGGGATAGGCATAAAGCTATCCTAACTATAAGATACAGCCAGGGACTAATGAAAGTATTTAGAAAATTGGGCAGACTTGATGGGCTGAATGGTTCTTATCTGCCGTCACATTCTATGTTTCTATGGAACTCTATGAAGACTGAATGGAACTCTATGAAGACTGAATGGAACTCTATGAAGACTGAATGGAACTCTATGAAGACTGAATGGAACTCTATGAAGACTGAATGGAACTCTATGAAGACTGAATGGAACTATTTGAAGACTAAATTGAACTCTATTTGAACAGTGAATGGAGCTCTGCTGACTGAATTTGGCTTTTGCTGACTGAATGCAACTCTATTTGAAGATTGAATGCAACTCTATTTGAAGACTGAATTGAGCTCTGCTGACTGAATGGAGCTGTTTTCTGCAAGAATGGAGCTTTTGCTCGCCGAATGGATCTGTGCTGCTGACAGAATGGAACTCTGCTGACAGAATGAAATGGTGATGAGTCATACTAACGGGGTACCAATGAGATTTCCACAGAGGTGAATTTCGCGTGACAGCGTGATGTGTTCGGATACTGAG